GTTCAGGACCAATCAAAGCTTTATCTCCTACTTCAGTCCAACATATCGGCGACCTGCACTTCCTTTCATACAAAGCTTCGTACGGTGCCATGCCAATGCTAGCTTAATAACTGTTGTTGTAAGCGAATTCTACTAATGGTAGATGCACTTCCCAACTTCCCTTGAAATCCAACACACATAATCTGAGCATATCTTCGAGTGTCTGAATCGTTCTTTCTGTTTGTCCATTGGTCTGGTGGTGAAAACCTGTGCTAAACTTCAACTCGGTTCCCAAGGCCCTTTGGCGACCGAGTAATGAGGTGAGAGAATGGATCCCTGTTTTCTCACCGTGTGAGTCTTACGTGTCATTATTGATATGACTTTCATTTATGTACCCTTTTGTGACTTTTGACTATGTCATAAGGTAAGGGGTTGATGTTCTGCTACTTTGGTATGTTGCCTGTGGTCATTTATGATTTGGCCTTAAGGGACATCACTGGGAAAGCGGTCAATCCTAAACTAAATGGCATGAGTGCAAAGGGAAGATCATCTAGTATTACACCACTGTTGTATATTCACTGCCGGCAACTCACATCGCTCTGTATGAGAGGCGAATTGAGTGTGAATATATTGCAAGAATTGAGAGGGTCAAACATGCTCTTTTTTGAGGGATTAGAGATGTTTTTTGGACCTGTGTAATTAGATGGGTCTGGGGTATATGAGACACTATTTCTTTTCTTTTTGGGTTGATGTCTTTATGCTGGCTCATTTTGAGTTTCTAGTATAGAGCTCCCACATGCAGGTGTTCTCAGCAGTCGCACGGTGCAGTGGCTAGTATGAGATTGTTTATTTTTGGGGAGATTGAGATTGAGACGTGGCAGTGGCATGCCAACTCATGTCCGAGTGGGAGATGTTAGAAATTGGGCGCCCATGTGGCATGACCCTTAGAACCTTTTGAACCTCATCCAAATGGGTTTTGAATTTGAATTCAAACCTATTTGGATAGCCACTCAGGATATATATCTATCATATCATGATATGGATAGATGATATAGATATCAGATATTATCTCATTTAACAAATAGATAAATGAGATAAATAGATTATATATCTGATATATGGGATATGGGTTATTAAGTGAAAAAAAAAACAACGTATGTTTGTTTTCTTTTCCAAGATACTGACTCTCTCCCAAAATAACGATCAAAGCCATTTGCACTGTGGTTTGTGTGGGTGATATTCAATATTGTAATAGCACTTCACTGCTGGGTTGATTGACTAGATTCAGGAAGCACGTGATTTATCCACGAGGTTCTATCATCTAAAGGTATGATCTAAACATTTTATTCCGCTGCATGTTTTGTGTTTTGTTTTACAGTATGTATGCTATATGTGAAATTAAGTCTCATTATTTAGTACGACATTACAAGTAAAGCAAAGAAGGTGAAACTAAATGGTGATATTCAGCACGATTTGGATTTTTGATCCATTTGCAAAAGCTTTAATAAATTATAGAAATTTTCTGTGTAAAATATGGAAATACATGAGCTTGTTTAATATGTATTTTACATCTATGAATATTTATAAAACCATTGGAGAGCATTTTACAACCAAAACAATTATTTTTATAAACTATTGCAAACAACCCAGCAGAGACAGCCATTTCAAATGAATGTTATCTTCTCTACAAAATTTATTTTCGTGTAAGACCACTTGGGAAAGTTAGGTTTATGAGTTATTTTTCATTTTCCACTGATTTTACTAAAAACCGATGAGTTTTGAATGAGTAATTTCAGTTTTTCCAAAACGTGACAGATTCTGTCCAATTTTCTTAGAAAAATATTTTCTCCATGTTAAAGAGGTTTTTAGCTTTCAAGTTCTTCTGAAAACGTATTTCTGACTTCAGCATCTAGCAAAAAATATAAATCTCACTTCTTTTTGATGTCATTTAAAGCCTCTTTTCATTTTTCAAACTTGAACTCCCTGCTTTGAAGCTGCTGAAATACCTGTATGAAGATATCATTTTTCTTCTAAAAATTAATTCTCTAGTTTAACTGATTTTTAGTCTTCAAGCTCTTTTGGTAAAATCTTCCTATTCTGTTTATGTAAATGAAGAATCAAGAATCAAGAATCAACCATTTTTGACACCATTTGGTATTTCTTTTGATTTTACAAACCTGGATTACTTGTGCTGAAATTTGCTGAAAATAATTTGGAAGATTATTAAGTGATGAGTGTCATTTTTGTATCTCCATTTTGTCCATTATTTGGGGTATATATATATATATATATAATTATAGATTTTTTTTACGTGGTTTAAATTTATAAATAATATTGTTCACATTATGCATGGATGTTAACATTTTGAAAGTTGAAATCTGGACAAACTGTGTGGTTGGGTTTTTCTGTGATATGTGATCCTGTGATATGTTCATGTAATATGATTTGGAGATGATAGGTGGATATTGTTAATAGAGTGAGCTCTGTTACGGAATTCTTGTGCAAGTGTGTCGTGTAACCCTAAGATGGCACGTGGTGTATTATGGCCTTTGCGGATTTGATAGTGGAATAAAGGGGGTAGTGAGGGTCTCACACAGAGAAAGTATCTCTAGAAGACTGTGATCCTTAGTGGGCCATTGATGTTCCAGCTTGGGTATAAAATTCAAGGCGTAGGCATCCTTGGCAATGATCCGATGTAGGACCAAGGAGGGGTCCGAATAGCCTCGTGTCCATTGCTTAGTGGTTGGGTAGGAACAACGCTCTACGGAGAGTTACTTAGAACTATTGACTTACTGACAACTAACATGATTATTTAATATATTGAAATGTTTTAGTTTCATCTTCTTTTCTTTACTTGTAATATCATACCAAAACATTTAGCTGTCAGCAAGTCAATAGTTTTAAGAAATGGAATAATGTTTTAGAGCACTAAATTGGAAACTCTAGAGCATCACTAATGATGTGGCATAGTGGTCCCCACTAAAGTGATGTGATGTTTTGGCTTGAGTTTGTTTTTTTTTTTTTTTTAAAGCTCATTAGAGCTATTAGTGGTCCAAAAATTAGTGGAATGAATCACCACTCTTAAGAAATGCAAGATGAAAGGGATAATTATGATTGATGTGTTGCAAAAGAGATAAAGCATGTGGTTGTTGAGGTGGAGATAAGTTGATGTAAGTTGATGATATATAATGTTGTTTGTGTAATGATAGTGGGGTGGTATGTGTATTCCACCATTTGCTTTCTTTATTATTATTATTATTATTATTATTATTATTATTATTTTTTATTATTATAATAATAAAGAAATGAAATGGTGGAAGACACAAACTCACCCCATACTACCCCACCATCATTAAACCAACACTATCATATATCATTAACTTACATCAACTTATCTCCACCTCAACAACCACATGCCTGATCTCCTTTCCAACACGTCAATTATAATTTTCCCCTTCATCTTGCATCTCTTTTGATGACAACCTACCATCATCCATGTTATCCCTTTACATCCATCATAATTACCCACAATCAGCCATGTTATTCCCTTCCTTTACAACACATCAATCATAATTACCCACTTCATCTTCTCTTCCTATATGTACTAGCCTGGTTGAATGAAGGATTCATATCTTTTATTTCCTTCCACATTCTACTTCTTTTATCTTCACAAAAATGTTAGGAGTTATAATTAGGGGAGAGTTAGCTGCCAGTTTTTTGCGTAAGTTTAAGGTAGGATACTACAACTATCAGCCTCTTTAGAGATATGTTTAATTCTGTTTATGGTATATTCTATATGAGAAATTAAGGGCTTGTTTGGTTTGTTTTTGGGAGGGTTGTTTTTGAAAAAAATTTTGGGGAGAGAGTTTAGAAATTTTTTTGGTTTGTTTGGTTGTATATTTTGAGAGAAATTTTTTTTTTTGGGAGTTTGGGATGATTTGATATTTTGTTGTAATTGAGTAGATGTGTGTGAGAGAAACAGTGATTGAGAAGGAGAGAGGAGAGAGAAAAAGTGATTGAGTGACGTGTAAAAGAGAGAGAGTGATTTTGGAAATTTTTTAAGAAAAATCTCAAACCAAACAATTTTTTTAAATTTTTTTTCCAAAACTCATCTTCAAAACTCAAACCAAACATACCCTAAGTCTTGTTATTTGGTATGATATTTCAAGTAAAGAAAAGAAATGAAACTAAACAATGATTGTCAACACGGTTTGGATCTTTGATCCTTTTGCAAAAGCTTTAATAAATTATAGAAATTTTATGTGCAAAATCTGAAAATACAGGAGCTTGTTTAATATGTATTTTACCTCTATGAATTTTTATAAAACCATCGGAGAGTATTTTACAACCGAAACAATTATTCTTCTAAACTATCACAAACAGCCCCACAGAGGCATCCATTTTCAAAAGAAAGCCATGAGCTTGACAGCCAAATAGAATTTTACAACACGATAATCAACCCATCTTAATAATATAATTATATGCATAGTATTTAACAGAATAATAACGAACATAATTAAATAAATGAGTACAGGACAACCAACACATTTAAAGATAGTAATTAATCATGTTAGCTATCAGCAAGTCAATAGTTTTAAGCAACTCTCTGTAGAGCGCTGTTCCCATCCAACCACTAAGCAATGGACACAAGGCTATTCAGACCCCACCGCGGTTCTACATCGGATCAATACCAAAGATGCCTACGCCTTGAGTCATATACTCGTGCCGTAACATCACGGTCCCGCCAAGGATCACAGCCTTCCAGACATACTCTTTCTATGTGAGACCCTCACTGCCCCCCTTATTCCACCATCAAATCCGCAAAGGCCAAAATACACTACGTGTCATCTTAGGGTAAAGCGACACACTTGCGCAAGAATTTTGGAACATATCTCACTCTGTTAACAATATCCACCAATCACATCCCAAATCATATTATAGGAACATATCACAAGAACACAATTCATATCATAGGATCACATACCTCGCAAAAACCCAACCACCCAGTTAGTCCAAATTTCAACTTCAAAAAATTAATATCCATACATAATGTGAACAATATTATTTATAAATTTAAACCACATAAAATAGATCTATAATAAACGATATACCAAATAATGGACAAAATGGAGATCCACAAAAATAACACACATCACTTAATAATCTTCCAAATTAAAATTTTATCATAGGTGATCCAGGTTTATAAAATCAAAAGAAATACCAAACAGTGTCAAAAATGGTTGATTCTTGATTCTTCATTTAGATAAACAGATTATGAAGATTTTACTAAAAGAGCTTGAACGCTAAAAATCAGTTTAAGCTAGAAAATTAATTTTTGGAAGAAAAATTTTCAAACAGGGTATTCTAGCAGCTTCAAAACAAAGAGTTCAAGTTTGAAAAATGAAAAGAGGTTTCAAACGTCATAAAAAAGAAGTGAGATTTATTGTTTTTGCTAGATACTCAGGTTAGAAATACTTTTTCAGAAGAACTTGAAAGCTAAAAACCTCTTTAACATGGAGAACATTTTTCTAAGAAAATTGGACAGAATCTGTCACGTTTTGGAAAAACTGAAACTACTCATTCGATACTCATCGATGTTCAATGAAATCAGTGACAAATGAAAGATAACTCAAAAACCTAACTTTCCCAACTAGTCTTTCAAGAAAATAAATTTTGTAGATAAAATGGCATTCATTTGAAATAGCTGTCTCTATTGGGTTGTTTGTGGCAGTTTAGAAAAATAATTGTTTCGGTTGTAAAATGTTCTCCGATGGTTTTATAAAACTCAGAGATGTAAAAGAAATGCGAAACAATCTATTTTTAGATTTTACACAAAAAATTTCTAGAATTTATTAAAGCTTTTGTAAACGGATCAAATATCAAAACCGTGTTGAAATCACAGTTTAGTTTCATTTCTTTTCTTTACTCGAAATATCATACCAAATAATAAAACTTAATTTCTCATATAGCACATATACCATAAACATAATTAAACATATATCTAACGAGGATAGTTGTAGTATCCTACCTTAAACTTGCGCAAAAACCTAGCTAAGGATGAAAACTCCTTCCTTTGATAGAATAGCTAACTCTCCCCTAATTCTAACTCTAAAATTTTTGTGAAGATAAAGAAGTCGAATGCGGAAGGAAATAAAATATGTGAATCCTTCATTCAACTAGGCTAGCATATATAGGAAGAGAAGATGAAGTGAGTAATTATGATTGATGTGTTGTAAAAGAAGGGAATAACATGGCTGATGGTGGGTAATTATGATGAAGGTGAAGGGATAAAATGGTTGATGGTGGGTTGTCATCAAATGAAATGCAAGACGAAGGGGATATTTATGATTGATGTGTTGGAAAGAAGATAAAGCATGTGGTTGTTGAGGTGGAGATAAGTTGATGATATATGATGGTGTTGGTTTAATGATGGTGGGGTGGTATGGGGTGAGTTGGTGTCTTCCACCATTTGCTTTCTTTATTATTAATATTTTTTTCTCTTTATTTTTATAATTATTCAAAAGAATAAGGATAGTGGGAAGAACAAAAGTAAAATAAGTACAACATAATTAGAAAAAGTACTTGGTTTTCACCTAAAATAATTTGCTACTAAAATTGAAATAATAATGAGGTGACAAAACAAATGGTTAAAGATAAATAGAGGCATATCATAAATATTCACCCTAAAACTACCATCTTTAAAATTAAATTTTAATATTATGCTCTCATTAAACCTTTTCCTTCTCCTTCTTCTTCTCCAAAAATCTGGGGCATTACAATCTATCTCCTAAAACAAATTTTGTCATCAAAATTCATAATCTCCTATACTCCAATATTTAGTAACAACTAACTTCTTAAATAATATGCTTTCGCTGCACACTCTGATATTAACAATTATTAATTAATTAATTATTTTTTATTTTATTATTGTTGTTAATTTATATATATACATGAATGCAAGGCGCCATGGGCGCTTTCAATTTTGAAATTCGACTCTCTCTCTCTTTCCGTTGATTTCAATTTTTTAATCAAGAATTTTATGTTTTTTGATATTCTGTTTACTGTAGAAAATAGAATATTAGACCCTGATTTTTTGGTTTTCTATTAATTTGAAGGTATTCTGATCTATTGCAAATGCAGACAATAGATCTTTAGATTAGTTTCATTGTATCTTGAAGGCGTATTTGCTAATGACTCGGCGCACACCATCTAGTGGGGGCAAATATTGTCTTTAGGAAAGTGACATTCGTAATACGACTCAAAGTGTAATTTCAAGCTTTCATTTGAAGTGACGTCATCAACATCGTCATTCGAAAGAAGATTTGCACGAACAAATCTAATACCAGTATGAAATTTGTTCATTTGATGTGTTCATTTCGAGCAAAAGGCGATGATGTTGCAGTGGTAAAAAGCACCACTGAGCTTGTAATTTGTTTACTTGATGTGTTTTGTTAGGTTTTATTTCTTGGCAATCCTGTTTGACAAAACTCCTCTGAGTTGTAATTTTATTTGCATTTTTATTTCAGTGAGGCTATGAGTTGTTAGATGCGAATCTAACCCAAATTGTGCCTTTCAGAGAAGTTTGTGATGCTAATGCTTTCAAGATTGCCACTTCGCTGATTATGACGGGGATCGAGCTGCCCGGTCAGCTCGCGGGGGTCGAGGGGGCAGCGCTACGGCGGGGTCGAGGGGCAGCGCCCCCGAAGCAAAATGCAAAAATGCATTCCAAGTTACCTATCCGCTCGAGCGGACATTACCCCGCTCGAGCGGAGAATCCCTGGTTCCAGAAGTTTTAGTCGCCTGTAAAAGTACTGAGCTGTGTGTTTTCGCGCTCGAGCGGGTTCTTTAGCGCTTGAGTGGACCTCTGTTATATCACGCGCATATTTTGCTGAAGCCGCTTGAGCGGATTGTTGGGCGCTAGAGCGGAGATTGCGGGACAAATTCTATAAATTCGCGTGTTGGGTCAGATTTTAAGATTACTACTCCAGATCTTCTTTTTGGGTTCTAGAGTTTATATCTGGGGATACTTTGTGAGTTTTTCTTGATGTTTTGATTGAGTATTTAACTCATGTTTTAAAGAGTATACATCAAAGGTTTTGTTTGTTCTACAAAAGAGAGAGTTGTTTTTCGGTGGATTCTGAAAAATTCGAGCCTGAAGCTTTGGTGGATTCCGGGGTGGCTCATTGTAAAGACAATTCCGAGGTGAAGACGGGTTGGAAGAGGTACATAGAGGTTGGTTCAATTAGGCGTGGATTCGCTAGGTAATTGAGAGTATACCTGTGAAATTTCTTTAAATCTTCTTAGTGGATTGTTTTGTGGTTGTTGCCCGTGGTTTTTTAATCACAGTTGGAGGTGTCCAATTGTGGTTTTTCCACGTTAAAATCGTTGTGTTGATTTGTCTTGATTGTTTGATTGGGGTTGTTATATACTGCTTAAAATTGTTACATAATCACAAATCAATTTCTAGGGGATTTCTAGATTTTTCAATTGGTATCAGAGCAGGTCGTTCTATTTTTTTAAAAAAAATTCTTTTAGAACGAGATCTTGTTTGATTTGTGATAATGGATACAATTCATGAAGGAAATTCTATGGTTCGACCACCCCTACTTGACGGATCCAATTATTCTTTTTGGAAAGCTCGGATGAGATCTTTTTTAAAATCTATTGATGAAAAAATTTGACAATCTGTCATGAATGGGTGGACCGAACCAACAATTACCGTTGATGGAGTTACAATCCCCAAACCAATTGATAAGTGGGACACAATTGATTACCAAAATAGTAGCTAGAATAATAAAGCTATCAATTCTCTCTTTTGCGCTGTCACACCTGAAGAGTTTAGTCGTATTTGTAATTGTGAAGTCGCAAAAGAGGCTTGGGATATCTTACAAACTATTCATGAGGGCACTCCTTCTGTTAAACGCTCAAAACTTCAAAGGCTCACGTCTAATTTCGAAAACCTTTCAATGAAAGATAGTGAGACCTTTGATGAATTTTATGCGAAGTTGAGTGACATTGTAAATTCCAGCTTTAATTTAAGTGAAAAAATTCCAAAATCCAAAGTTGTGGGAAAAATTTTGAGATCCTTGCCTGATCGGTTCCAACCAAAAGTTACGACTATTGAGGAGGCTTAAGATGTTAACAACCTCAAGCTGGATCAGTTGGTTAGAAATCTCTAAACTTATGAGGCACACAGGAATTTCAAAAAGAAACAAAAAGATATTGCTTTTAGTAGTGCTCATAGAGTTTGAGAGGATTTTGATGAGGATTGTGAGATAGATTCTAAGATTACGGCTGCTTTTGTTAAACAATTTAAAAAATCTTTTTTGAAAAAGAATCCTAATCTTTTGGAATCTACTCATACTCATAAATCTAAAGGCAAAGATAAACTCAAAATTAATTCTATAGCCAAGAAGGAGAAAGGAAAGATACAAGGGAACTCTGAAAGACTCCAATGCTATGAATGCCAAGGATTTGGCCATTTTGCTCAAGAATGCCCTACTCGTTTGAGGAAGAAGAAAGCCCTCGCCATCACTTGGGATGATGAATCTGAATCTGATGAAGATGAAAGTGACAATGAAGATCAAGGCGAAGAGGGACATAAACAATTCCTTGCTTTCATAGCGGCTTCCGAAGCTGAAGGACAAACAGATTCTCCAAAGAGGTCAATTGAGAATATCACTGATGATGAATCCTCGGAGAGTGATCATGAAGAGCTTGAGCAAGCTTATGAAAAGTTGTATAAGAAGTCTCTTAACTTATTCAAATTGAATGACAAACTCACAAAGAAACTCAAAGCATGTGAAAGTGAGAATGTCAAACTTAAGGAGGAGATTTCCGAGGCCAGGATTAATGCCATCAAGGTAGCTGATGATCGACAAGTTCTTTGTGCAAAACTGTTGACTTGTGAGACAGAGAGGAATGAGCTGCTGCAAACCCATGCCATGTATGAAGAAAAGATTGAATCTCTCAAGATGTCACAAGTCACTTTGGAAGAACTAATGATCAAGAAAGAGGAAGAGCTCAAGTGTGCTATGACTACCATTGGTCTTTGGAACAAAGGATCAAAGACTTTGGAGGATATCATTGGGTCTTAACAAATGATTTATGGCAAGAGTGACATTGGCTTTGGTGGTAAGAAAGAGCAAAAGCAGAGTGCTTCAACATCTCATGATACAAGAACTTAAGGAAAGGGAAAACAAAAAATTCAACATAAGGATGGACTTCTCAAACTTCCTATAGTTGGTAAGGTAAAAGAAAAGAAGGTACACCTTGGACACCTTGTTTTTATTTGTCATCATTGTGGTATGCATGGTCATATTCGCCCTTATTGTTATAAGTTGCATGAGAGAGTGTCTCAAAAGGGTAAAAATTTGAATACTTTTTGGGTTAGGAGACAACCTTACATGTCCAGGCAGAATACCAAGATTCATGAGGGTGTTACAATGCCACGACATTTACCAAGGCTGCTAGACCTAATTTTGTTAAGATAAAAAAGATTTGGGTGAGGAAACTTGACTTGTGTTAATTTTTTTTATTTGTTTTAGCTTTTGGGTTTTTGTGTGTTGTTTTTAATGGAAAAAAATGAGTGCTTGTTCATTTTTTTTTGAAAAAAAAAAAAAAAATTCCAAAAAGATTTTCTTAGTATGGTTTTGCAAGCTTGAAATTCTTGAGTAGTCCTTAGTGCATATTGGAATTGATGAGAATATCCATTACATGTTAACATATGTGTGTTTTCTGTGGTCATTACTCGTTTTGGAGTGTGTGTTTTTTGATTAGTGTGTCTCATTCTGTACACCCTCTTGGATTAGCAAATTTTGGAGTCTTCCGCTTTAGTGATTATTTTTTTTATGGGCTTCTGGCATTGTATCTTTTACTTTTCTAGAGGAATTGACCTATACTAGCATATCATGGGTGATGTTGAGTCTCTTAACCACCTACCATCTTTTTACATCTCCATGGCTTTCCCCTTAATTCTTTGCAGTCTAGCCATGAGGAAAAAGCTACCTCAGAGTCACCAACTAGGCCATCCTTATTATATCCATGCTTCTCTAGTTCGGTTTCCATACTCTTGAGCGTGTCAGCCACCAATGATTGTGCAAAAGAAAAAGAAAAAGAAAAAGAAAAAGACAAAATATGCAAAAGAAAGAAAAAAATGTGCAAAAGAAAGAAAGAAAAAAAAAGAAAAGATTCATTGATTGAGGGGGAGCCTCCGCCTTTACTCACCAAATACCCATTGATTCCTAGTGGTTTGACTTTCCTTTGTCGTGCTTAAGATTCTCTTGTCGGAGGTCCAACTTTCATATCACTACTAGGATTGAATCTAGTGTTTGTCGAACTCCAAGAGTCACACACACACTTTTATTATGGGATCTATGCTTTTCACATAATGCATCACTCTCTTGTGTGAGGAATTTTCTACAGACTGTGCACATTGTGTTTACTAGTAATTGTACTTCTTGGATAATCTTGTGTGTTTTAAGGTACAAATCTGAAATTCCTTGCTTACTCTACCATATTATTTTTATCGTTTTCTTCTTGTTCATTGTTTTCAGTGTTTGGGTTGGTACGGGGAGTTTGGTTCATCTTGACTTGGGTTGATTTATGATCTTGCTTTTGTTGTTGGTTTATGATCTTGCTTTTGTTGTTTAAGAGTTGTTTTTCATGAGTCTTAGTTTTCATCTATTCATGTTTTCTATCTCATGTTTCAAGATAATCGTGTCATATGTCTATTATTTTTTCATATACTCTTGTGGGACTAATAGTTATTTTAGAGATTGTGGCACTAATAACTGTTTTGCAGATCATGACCTTGAGAAAGAAGTTGGTTTTTGTTGGCTGTAATGGGTTGGGGTGTTTTAGGATTTTATTTGTTAGGTGTGTTTTGTCACGACATTGCCAAAGGGGGAGATTGTTGGGTTTTATTTCTTGGCAATCCCGTTTGACAAAACTCCTTTGAGTTGTAATTTTATTCACATTTTTATTTCAGTGAGGCTATGAGTTGTTAGATGCGAATCCAACCCAAATTGTGCCTTTCAGAGAAGTTTGTGATGCTAATGCTTTCAAGATT